ATCGGTCCCATCACCGACCACCTATAACTTCTATCCTTTTCTCGTATTCACCCTATCTTCCACCTTTTGTTATTAAAAGAAAGTCATGATAAAACTGTATCCAATGAATTCCCAACTGGATGGCTAACCCACATGCTTATCCAAACACCGATCCCAAAAACCATTCTCCAACCTCGCCAAGCGGACGATATCACTCAAGTACTCATTAAATGGGGCACCCAATCCCCTTTAGAAGCAACATGCAAATATGAACAAGATCTCACACTCTGATTCCCTAATTTCAATACAGGACTCACGGGCGAGTCCATTTTTGAAAAGGGGGGGGGGGGGAAGATACAACCTAAAAATTACCAGACCATGAAGCAGTCGGTTACCATAATCTAAGACACTCGATTTGCCCAAAAAATTAATCCAGAAGCTTTTCCGCTTTCTAGAGTAATGTATGCGACCTTTACTAAGTCAAACTAGTTGGAATTGGATACTTTTCGTTCCTTTTGCTTAGCATGTGTTACTAGTAATTAGGTTTCAGTCTTGGGAGTAACCCACGATTAGAGTAGCTGCATTTTCTATTTTTCAAATAGTATTTAAACAATATCCTTTGGTTTTAATGGATTATTCAGAAAAGTGCTCCAATTATTGTTTTCTTTCTCTTTACTCTTGGAGGTTGATCACCTCGAATGTGGTTCCTAACAATATCCATGTCCTATAAAAATGGGAATGGTAGGTAGGATTTTAGAAGTCTCTACCAATGTGTAACGAGAGTTTCCATGATTATCTCAACATATTGGAAAACACAAGCCCTCAGTCAACTATGAATCATGACCACCAACACCAATAGGGCATTTATCTCTAATTGTAGCATTCGTGGTAAGATGAAAGATTTATTAAAAATAATGTTATAATGATAAAAAAAATAACAACACTTGATTATTAATGCTTTCATTAAATTCCATTCATATACTATTTGAAAAGTTATTAATAACGACTGGGAATCAACGTCACATTTTTGTACTACTAATATCATTAAGAAACTTTAAGCAAGAAACTAACAAGGTAAAGACACCTTCTGGGAGGGACGGGGAGAGAGAAAACTACATGATTTGTCTTAAGAAAATGATGTATATCCACTTTATCACTCTTATAATATTACTCTCATTTGATGCTGCTCCACCAAGACCATCGTACCATCACTGGTCGATCAGACCGCCGTCGAAGAGACAAGACCACCACCAAAATGATTCATGACAAAATAATCTTATATGTCAAGAGGGCAGTGGGAGTCTTAAAGATCTTGGAAAAGCTTTAAGAAATAATCAAGAATAAAACCTATTGTTTATCACTAGCACACGAGTTGAGGTTTATAACCTATCGTGTTGACATATTCTTGTTTTTGTGCCCATTCCAGTTAAATTTGATTATGGATGAGAGTTCTATGATTTCTCAATTGTTTGCATAACAACTAGAAAGTAATAGTAAGCCCTTGTGCTTCCAGGTGGCAAGAAATTAAGATTGAACAAGTTCAGTCCATATGAGTTGGATTTGTCACTAACCATGTGATTTGTAATTGCAAGTCGGTTGCACATTGACATATATAAATGCACCAACAACTTGGATGTTATGAAACATATCGTTGTGTGTAATTTGATGAGTAAGTACAAGCAAGCATTTGGGTCGAAGTTTTATGTTCCTTTTACCCCATGTGGATAAAAGCGATATCTGTGGGCCCCTCGATGATTTAGTGATGCTACCAGGCCTGGACTGATTTGATTCGTTCAATTAGTCTGTCATCATAAATTGGAAATCGGGAAACAACAGATGGATAGAGGAATGATTATAATTCATGTGTCAGTACATATGATATCTAGAATGGAGGAATATATGATTCATTATCTAATGGACACATCATTGACTATGTCAGAATTCAACAACTTTCAAGAGCTATGATTGCTAGTCGGGTTGGCGTCATGCTTGCATTGATAGTTATTAGACTTATCCAAGTGGGAGACTGTTGGATTAGTGTGTAAGTCCATAACTATAATTAGTATGTACTTGACCCGAGAGTAGCATGGTCCATTTGGGTTGCATGGCACCGAAACAATCTGAAGGAGAGATAATTGAGAAAAGATTATTTATGGTTTATTAATATATTATAAGTTCTAATATATTAATATGAAATCATATTATTTAATTATTACTGGTTAAGAATTAATTTGGAATTAATTTTGTGATAAAAAAGACTAATTAAATATATGGGGATTGATTATGTACATTATCCATTCTTATAATATGAGCTTATGATCCATAGTTTTTTGTGTTGGGCTAAACTCATGTGGTGACCCATGGATGATCCATGGAGGTTTAAACCCATGGAGCATGAGGAATAATGAAGGTCATGCACATTAGGGTTTTCATGGTGTAACCCTAATTAAGAAACACTATATAAGAAACCCTCTAGCTCATGAAATCGGACCTAAGTAAGATTACAAGAGGGCAAGCCGATTTTATGAATGCAAGTAACCTCCTCTCAAGTTCCTCCATTGTTGGTGGTGTTGTGTGATTCCATTTGAGGTGCAACACTTGGTGCACTAAGTTCTTAAAGGTCCAAGGTTTCCAACTACAAGAAAAGGTATGTCATTCTACTAGTTTTTTTTTTTTTTTTTTTTTTTTTTTTTTTTTTTTTTGTATTACATATACTTCATAGTATGCTAGTTATGATGAAACATTGGAAAAATGAAAGTTTGCATGTATAACAGAGAAAAAACATAGATTCAAAGTTTCTAGGGTTGCATGCACACCTTATAAGTGTTAGAATGCTCAAAACCCTTAAAAGAAGAGAGAGGAGAGGTGAGTAAAAATTCGACTCTTCTAATTATATATGACTCCACTAAAATTGAGAACATAATGAGTCCTATTTATAGTTGATAAGATAATCATAGAAACACTAATGCGGAATAAAATTATAATATACTTAATCCAGGTAGTTACCTAATTTCCTTATGTCAGGGAGGCTTCTAGAATGCCCCATAAGGCACTCCAAAATCGTCCACAAAGGAAGGTTCTTGTCCTTGCACTTTAATTACAACTAATTAATTCCAAAATTAATTCCAATTTTTTTTTTTTTATTAATTCTAAGTTAATCATTATAATTTCCAATTAATATATTAATCGTATAATATATTAGTAAATCATTTATTTTAATTTTCAAATAATTTATTAATTATTCCCATAATAAACTAACATATTATATTCTCTCTCTCTCTCTCTCTCTCTCTCTCTCTCTCTCTCTCTCTCTCTCTCTCTCTCTCTCTCTCTCTCTCTCTCTCTCTCTCTGAGGGCAACTAAAAAATGACTCTGCATCTAATTAAAAATATATAAATTTATTTATTGGCTTAGACACACTAATCCAACAACAACAACACATACAAAAACTCAAAACACTTTTCTTTTTCTGTTTTTATATTATTTGTTTAATATTTACTAATTAAAAAAACTGATTTAAAATAATTTATAAATAAGTGGGTCCAACCACTCCGTAGTCCATACATCCTCCTCCCTTACCATCCACAGTCCGCCTCCGCCAACCTCCATTCAACCACCACAATTCATCTCCATTCACCTTTGGTTGGACCTTCGTTCAACCCTCCACTGTTCACCTCTATAAACCATCACCGGTTACAATACCAAATCAGAAAAAATTGAATAAAAAAAACATAAACTCTACATAATCAAAATCAAAACTTCTAATCAAACCAAACCAACCTTTACCGTCAAACCACCACTTCTGCCATCAAACAACACCAACTTATCTTCTATCAACAATCACTACCACCGTTCTTTACAAAATCAAAACTACACCATAATCAAAATAAAAGGTTGTGTAGAAGATCAAGACCTATAATCAATAGTAAACCGAATTACAATAATAATAATAATAATAAATCAAAAAGAAACTGAAAACGGTTCAAGAAATGGAAACTTTTCCTTAAAATGGTCAAAATAGATGTTGAATATTGTTTTAAAAGTCAAAATTGTCCCATAAATCAAAACATGTTCCAAATTTTTTTCTTATTTGCATTTTATGATCCATTTTTTTCTCCAGTTCACGTTTCAAAAATGTTAAATGATTTTTGGGATGAAAACACTAACGATTTTTATCAGTGGCCTGTTTGATGTAGTTGACCTGATTGAGGTCATCGAAGTTTCAAGTGAAACAAGTTATGTGGTGGACTATGCAGATGTATGTGTTGGCGTTTTCTTCGATGTTGTCAGACTTGGAGAAGGTGACGATGTAGTTGTCAGATTTGTAATAGTTATGATGCCACGGTGGTGATGAATAGGCGGCGTATCTTATGTATGGTTGGATTTTGTTTTTCATAGAATAGAATAAGAGGGTAAAGGTGGGTGAGGTGGAGCCAATGCTATAATATTGAAAATATAATAATATAATTAATAAATTATATAATAAGCACAATATAACCTTTTTACGTTAATTAGTGACGAAAATCGCAACAAAAATAAATCACAAGATTGTCCAAATGCATGAAAAGTTAGGGATAAACGCCCAAATTTATTGGAACCATAAGGACATTTCATTCTCTTGTTCTAATTATTATGCATTAATTAAAGTGTGACATGGGTATAAACTTTTTGGTTTTATAAAGGTGGAAATTGAGGGTATTACACAATAACGAATAATGAAGATAGTAACAAAAGATAATTTTTTATGGCACCAAGTAGCCATTCAACGACCAGTATTATTATTATACCAATATTTTTGTGGTTGGTTGGGTGTGAAATGTCTTATTATTTCATTTCATTAGCTTGGTTAATTAAAATATTAGCAACGAGGTTGTCAGATTAATATTAAAAATTATGAACAATTTTTTTAAGACGCAATCACGTGCTTGGCGTTGACGAAGCTAAAGCATTTGAATCATTTAAAGTCAAAAAAATATCCAGAGAGCATTTGAAGCATCCGAACCATTTGGGAGTATCATCAGATGGCTTTGGTAAACCCATTTTCCAGCCTAACCTTCGGTGATAAGCAATGGGTAGATCATATTAGCAAAACCTTGAAAAACCAGCTTGCCATTAACGTCGATACACCTCCACTGTCCATATTTCAAATTCCTCAAATCCTAAAAGACGAAAAGCTAGAAGCGTATGTCCCTCAACGGATAGGGCTTGGTCCTAATCACCATTTCAAGCCAGAGCTCTATCAGAACATGGAGCAAAACAAACTCACTTCCGTGAAAAGGGTACTTAACTCTAATAAAGTTCAAGTCGCTGTGGACCAAGTCGTAGATAAAGTCAAAGAGATCATCCCCATAATTTGTGCTTGCTATGATTTGTACCTTGATGCTGATGATGACACCTTGGCATGGTTATTCACCATTGATAGTCTCTTCTTTATTGATCTACTTGGTGCTTATATTAATCAAAAGGTTGCAATAGACGCAAAAGATTTTATCATGTTAGAGAACCAGATTCCTCTACTTGTATTGAAGGAAATCCAAAAGGTCCTATCAGGTAGCTATGATGAAGCCCAAGAAGATTTCTGGGAATCTAAGTTCGGGTTTTTCTGTAAGTGCCACTCACCATTTATCCTCTCTAAAGAGAAAATCGATTTTAGTAGAGTAAATCATTTACTTGATTATATGTACCAATCCATCGTGACCAATGAAGAATCGATGTCACCAGAAGTTTACTTTCAAAAATCTGGAAGTGGTCCATCTGAAGAAGACGATAAACTAGAACTACTTGAACTGTTTATCCAACTTATGGCACTGATCCCAGGGACTAAGCCATTTCTTCAGATCTTTGAATCCTTCATGAAATCTTTCTCAGAAAGTATTGAGAAGATGGTGACAGCTGAAGAGATCAAGGTGCCTTCAGTTTCAGAGCTTCGCGATATTGCAGGAGTTAAGTTCCATTTGTCACCAACTGACGGAGGAATCAGAAACATTAATTTTGTAGGCGAAAATGAGCGTTCTTGTTATCTCCCTCTTATTACACTTAATCTTGATTCCGAGGTGATATTGAGAAACTTGGTGGCTTATGAGCAATTAATGGCAAAGAAAAGTTTTACCACTGGCCATGGTCTTGAATTCACTGAATATGTAGATTTCATGTGTGGTATCATCGACAGTGATAAGGATGTCCGGTTGCTACGTGAAGAAAAGATCATCATAGGTGACTTGGGTGATGAGGATATTGTTAAATTGTTTAACGGGATTGCGAGATCTCAGGGGATAATGAATAGAGCATCAGATTTGAGGAAGACTGTGGATCAATTAAACAAAGTCTACCAAAGCACACCGAGAGTTTGGGTCCAGAAGATGGTGGAGAAGCAACTTCGGGCTTCTGCCAAGATGATCACATTCCTTATAAGCATTTCGAGTACACTGATCTTGATTCGTGAGGTGTATTTGAAGACTTATGGTTCCACTCCACCAAAGATGATTTTTGATGATATTGTTAGGACCATATTGAGTGGTTTTCTTCATTGATAAGGGGATGGGTTTGTGTATTATCTAACGTCCTTGTTTTAACCATCTGATGTATTATATGGCATGAGCTAACATAGTTATAAATTCAGTTCAAAGAACTGAAATATATGTACAAGAACACAATGTGTGATAGAGCCCAACAACTACCGGTACATGAAGCAGCCCAGTTACCAGAATATGAGACATTCACTCGGCCCAAACCAATCATCAAGAAGCCTGCCTGATTTCTTGAATAAAGCCTGCGAGCTTTACCAAGTCAACCCAGTTAGCATATGATACTTTTTTTTTTGTTTTGTTTAGCATGTGTTCCTAATAATTGGTTTCCACTTCCAGGTGTAACGCATGATTAGAGTAGCTTTATTTTCTATTTTTCAAGTAGTATTTAAACAATGTACTTTGGTTTTAATGGATTATTCAGAAAACGGCTATGGTTATTATTTTGTTTCTCTTAGTTTTTGGAGGTTGAAAACCTCGAATACCGTTCCTATCATTTGGTGTTTTCATTACCTATCTCCCAACTATGCCTCCCCTGAAAGATGCTACAACCGACATACCTCCTAAACCAGAAAATAAACCACCTCCGAAGGAACACCTACAAGCACTTCTCCGTCTTGGTACCGCCACCAACTCCCGACTTGACACCCTCACCACTAAAGTTGCAAACCTGGTCCATCTCCTCACAACCCAACATCTCAACCAACCACCCCCACTACCTCCACCCCACCCCACCCCTACCCAATCAACAATCACCAACCACAACAACCAACGATACAACTTCCCAACCTAGACTGCTCCAATCCACTTGATTGTTCTCACAACTACTTCATCTACTACAACATACCACCAAACCAACGCATCACACTAGCTGTTGTTTACGTCACAGGCCTTCAGTTGGGACAAGCATATGTAAAACCATATGTACAACAACCATCTTTTGGGCACATGGATAGAATTTTACAAAGCTATTGAAACCCAGTTTGGACCTTCCACGTATGAAAACCACCAAACCACTCTCTTCAAGCTTCGCCATGTTTACACCGTCTCGGCTTACCAAGCATAATTTGAAAAAAAAAAAAAAATCAGCAATCGTGTCGATGGCCTTTCCATAGCAGCCCTCCAAAATGGCTTTATTTTCGGTTTGTGTTCCGAAATCCAAAATGAGATCGCATTACACCACCCACTAACATATGGATTAGCCAAACTTATCGAAGACAAATTAAAATGCAATCGAAATAGCTACAAGCCTATAAATCCTTCTCATACACCTTCCCCTCTTCTTCTACCCAATACGAAAAAAAGCACCTCCACCTCCTTCTTTGTAAGTCCCAAAATACTTAGATCAATACGATATCAATGAAACTATCTAAAGAATGCAAAATAAAAATAAGATAGTGATTCAAGAACACACAAATAACTCTTAATACACACGATTTATTAGTTGAAATCGTCTGGTACACCAAGAACTTCTTAACAGCCGAATATAATAATGATGAACAACTCAAACTCCTTAACGGCTGAAAAGCTATTTATACAAACCTAGTACAAAGCCTTAACAGGCCCAAGCCCAAGCTGACCGAAAACATCATTAAGCCCACTGAAATCACATGGTGATTTCAGTCCAAACACCAACGAAAAGATGGTGTTTTCGGTCCTAGACCGAGAACTCTAAAAGCTATCTTAAGTAAAGTATAAACCACAAATCATGTCCTAATAATCTCCCTTTTGGTTTATAGTTGTCTTTTCTTTTCAATCTTCTCTTTGTTCTTGACTTTCAACTTTTATCTTCGATTTCTTCACAACTTCAAGATGAACATATGAATTTCTACATGAATGACTTTATCTTGAGCATATGGACATCCTTTTAAAAATTTGACTTTGAACGCAAATTGGGTATAGAGGTTTCTTGTAAAGGTTCTTGAAAATCAACACTTTCAACTTTGAGAAACTTTAGAGATAATTACATAGAGACTGCTTCTTCTAGATCACTTCAGCAAGCTCATAGATTGCAACAAATTGATTGTAAATGATTCAATGCAATTCGACACATAACTTCAACTACAACTTCACCTTGCTTCTGGGGTTGAAAGGTTGTGTGTTGAAAAATAACCTTCACTTCTTGTTCCTTCAAATGAAAGTTCTTTATCGATCACAAATGCGTCTTAAAAGGTAACCATGACTAAAAGGTCATTGTGGATCACAAAGTCATAATGACCTTTCTCACCACAGTTGTTGAAGTACCCAACCTTGGCTCAGAAGGAGACTGAAGGGTTTTGAGCATTCTAACACTCGTAAGGTATATATGCAACCCTAGAAACCTTAGATCTATGTTTTACTAATATACATGAGAATTTGATTTTTCCAATGTTCTTAACCTAACTAGCATAACATGGGGAACTTGAAACATAAATGCTAGTATAAGAACTTAAGTTGAAACATAAATACCAGTAGAAGAACTTAAAATTCTTGTTTCTTGGATTCCTTAAGGATTTTGTTAGCCTAGCACCCCAAATGTGATGCCTCAAGTGTTTCACACAACACCACAACTCTTGGAATAACTTTGAGAGAAGTACACACACACTCAAAATTGGCTAGGCCTCTTGTTCTTTACTTAGTGCCGATTTTGGTAGCCCATGGGATCCTTTTATAGTTGTGTCACAAGTAAGGTTACAACATGTAAACCCTAATTGACATGGCTTTTCATTTCCTCCATGATCCATGGGGTTTAACCTCCATGGACCATCCATAGAGCACCATATGGGTTTTAGCCCAATTCAATAAACCATGGATCATTAGCCCACTATATAAGAATGGATGATTTACACAATCAACCCCATATATTTAATTAGTCTTTTTTTTTTATCACCAAATTAATTCAAATTTAATTCTTGATCAATACTAATTAAATAATATTACTAATATATTAGAAATTATAATATATTTATAAACCATAAGTGTCTTTTTCACATATTGTCTATCCAAGTGTCATGATGCCATATAACCCAAATGGACCATACCAATCGGGTCAAGTACATACTAAAAATAGTTATTGACTTAGACAACTTATCCAACAGTCTCCCATTTGGATAAGTCTAATAAACATAACTGCAAGTATGACTTCAGGAACCAATCAACAATCGTAGCTCTTTCAAAGTCTCGCAGAACTAAGATGACGTGGCATTTAAGATAAGTGATCATATAATCCTCTGCTCTTAAGATATCAGTCGGAAAAATACATGGAACAATGTCGTACTTATTGTCCAACAGTTTGTTTCCTGATTTCCGATTTGTTTGACATATAACTTAATCGAACACATCAATTTAGTTCTGACCGGGCTCGGTACATAGGTAAAAAAAATCATCAAGGGGACCAGATATCACTTCTAATCCTCCAAGGACTAGAAGGAGCAGATAAACTTTGACTCATATGCTTGTTCTACTACTTGTTGAATCATACACAAAGGTACGTTTTATAACATCAAGTTACCAATAGGTTTTCGTACAATCAATGTATAACCAACTCATAGTCAATACCTCATATCTCTAGGTTTGATGACTTATATGATATGATCGTCTCACGATCACTCAAGATAAATTCCATGAAGTGATACAAGTGAGTGTGGGTTAAATCCAATACTCGAATCGCTATTCCAGGAGTACTCATGAACACTGCAGTTCCTTTGTCCCAGTAAACTGCAGACCCTTCATGACAGTTTTGCCTCATTACATACTTCCAAAGTATGAATGACTATAGATGGATTGAATAATATGATACACCATACATAATTACTCTGGAATTCAAAAAATGCAAAAATGAAATGATAGTAAATGATTAACAGAAGAGAGAAATACTTTACTTATAAATAAACAACACCTTTTACTTATCATCAAATGTGAATTACACTTTACAAATTTCAAAAGCTATCTAATTTCCAAAACTAGTATCATCCTTTAGCCCAATGCGCCTCACATTCTGAAGATGCTTAACCCTACCCAGTCCCTTCATGAAAGGATCTGCTGGGTTCTCATCCGATGCTTAACCCTCGCTTGCTGCTATGTACTTTGATTTGCAAGTTGAATCATCCACCGTCTTTTGTTTGGAACTTTTGCAGGTAATTGATCCTTCATTTAAGGTAAATACCCAGCCTGACTGAGAGCGGAAATTATCCCTATCACTCTGGAAGCTAGCATCACTATACCCTACTACTCTCAAGTCATCACTCCCACCGAGGGTATGGACCCAGTCCTTATTCCTCCGCAGGTACTTAAGAATGTTCTTTACCGCAGTCCAGTGAGCCTTGCCAGGGTTCCCCTGTAACTCTCCTTTCTTGGAATCCTGCATGCTGAACCTATTCAGCACCTTATCCAAGTAGGTACTTTGACTAAGTCCAATTAGTCTCTTACTCATGTCTCTTAAAATCTTTATCCCTAGGATATAGGCAGCTTCTCCAAGGTCCTTCATAGTGAAACACTTCCCAAGCCAAGACTTCACTTCCTGCAAAGATGGGATGTCATTTCCTATGAGTAGTATGTCATCCACATACAGTCCCAAGAAGCTAAATATACTCCCACTATCCTTGATATATACACATGACTCGTCTTCGCTCCTCAAAAATCCAAACTCTTTGACTTTCTCATCGAAACAAAGATTCCATCTGTGAGGTGCTTGTTTCAATCCACAGATGAATTTCTCAAGCTTACACACTCTATTAGGGTACTCTGCACTGACAAAACCCTCTGGCTAACTCATGTAAACATCCTCAGCCAACTTTCTATTAGGGAAAGCGGTTTTGACATCCATTTTTCATATTTAATGGTCATGAAATGCAGCAATGGCTAGCATAACCCTAATACACTTAATCTTTGCTACTGGAGAAAAGGTATCATTATAGTCAAATCCCGGAGTTTCAGAAAAGCCCCTGACAAGCAGTCACGCCTTATAAGTATGCACATTACCATCCATGTCGGTCTTCTTCTTGAAGATCCATTTGCACCCGACTGTC